GTCAGAAATGCCATTAAGTATAACGGACCTACGCCAACAGTTCATCTCTCCATCTTGTTTGCTTATGTAAACAATGACGAGCTGAACGAGATGATCCACAGGCATGTCCAGCTCTTACAGTCCAAGGCTCTGACAGCAAATCTCACCTGAGGCTCATCATTTTTGCCCTTCATCCCCATGGCAGTCTTCTCCCCTTCACTGTAGGTGCATCCAACCCACACGTGAACGGTCTCCTTTATGCCTATGGTTGTGGGGTACGCTCCTGGCAGCTATGCAGCTGCAATGTGATCCTGCCCCTCAGCCACTGTTGACTGGTTTGGGAAAGTGCTGCTCACCTCAGTTGGGCCAATTCCAGATCCTTCCCTGGGAATCAAGACTTGACTGAAGTCAGATGAGGCTCACTCAAAGCTGAGCTCTTAAGAAGAACCAAGGGCTGTGGCATCACGACCCAGCCGTTCATTCAGTGCATACTTCCTGGGCACCTGCCCTGTGCTGGCTGGTGTGCTTTGCATCTTCTGCAGGCCAGAGTGAGTCCCAAAGAACTGTCTGGTTTCCTGATGGCTTTTCTAGTTCTCAGTCCCCATCCATCCTGAGGCCCACCACACTACTGCCCTGAGTTCCCCGAGATCCTCCTCGGTCTTCACCATAAATGATTCACAAGAAATGATGAAGTCGTGCACTTTGTTGGCATTGTCACTGAAAGAGTTTCAGTTCCGATCTCCTCTCACAACCAGCTTTGCAGGGCCTGTTGAGCGGCTACTCCATCTCCCCTGTGGACCCAAGGTGAGGGAGCTCTCATATCAATTCAGAGAAGGGTCCAGAGGCAAGCACTGGGTCTTCTCTGAGTCTTTTTCACAAATCTTTTAATTTTTTCCATTTAAGCATGGCCACATAGGAAATGGAACAACAGCAACAAAAACCTTCTTAAGAAACATACATAAGGGGCGACTGGGTGGCTCAGTTGGTTAAGAGTCTGCCTTCGGCTTGGGTCATGATCCCAGGGTTCTGGAATCGAGCCCCGCGTTGGGCTCCATGCTCAGCAGGGAACCTGTTTCTCCCTCTGCCTGCCTGCCTGCCCACTTGTGATCTCTCTCTCTGTTTTAAATAAATAAATAAAATCTTTAAAAAATACATAAAAGGAGGTAAAAGGGCCTCACGCAATTTCATTAGATAAAACCCACCCCCTCCTCATGCCAATTCCAGCAGAGAAAACATCTTGACAAATCATGTCCTTTAGTCAAAACAAGTTGGGGGCCAAACACATGGAGTAGATATAAAGTATGTTATTTTCAGGAGACCGAAATCCAAACCACAAATTCCAGAAATGCATTTTAAAAGTGCTGCTTATTAGACACGCTAGTTTTAAATTAAATTAACGTTGAAGCGAGGGGGGTAAGGTATGTTTCGATTTATTTATTAGATCACTATCAAGCTTTCCTGTAAGGAGATCAAGGTGCTCCATGCACAAGCATCTTGGAGAAATGCTTGGTTGTTTGAAGAATGTCAGGTTCTGCCAAAGCTGTTTCTCCCCAGTTTGATAGCCCCCCCTCCAAGGCATTGCCTTCTGAGGCCCACAGCTTTATGTGGCCAACCACAAGTCTATGCTCGGCTTGAGGAGGGCACTTAGCGGACTTGACACACTGTCTCAGAACCATTCCAAGAATGGTCTTGTGGGCACACTTGCTCTTCTCCCCAGCTTGGCTGCTTCACCTTCTAGGGCCTGACACAGTGAACCCGGGAGAGGAAAGTCCTGTAGTGTCTTATCACGCAGGAAGATTTTGGTTTTGTTTGTTTGTTTGTTTTTGAGATTATATCATTTAAAAAAATTATGGCAAACAGGCAGATCTTTCATTATCGAAGCTTTTCTGGGAGCACTTATTGTGAATCCGGGTCAAGAGCATGGGAGGATTTTCTGTCCTCCAGACTGGAAGGAAAACTCTTAGAATTTGTCACACGCTGCCCGTCAGGCTGGACAGCCAAGTGCATATTCAGGCCGAGTGCAGATTGTGTTTTCCAAAAGTGGCCATGACAATAACTTCTGCTCCCTTTCCAAGAAGAGAGTAAGTTCCCTCTCCTCCAACCCAGGTGGGTATGGGTGTCTGCCTGGACAAACAGAGCACTGTGGAGGGGATGCTACATGACTTCTGAGGTTTCCATCTGGCTCTCTCTTAGGACACTTGCCCCTGAACACAGCCACCATGCTGTGAGGAAGCTCAGGGCGATGGCAAGAACTGCGTCCCTTAGCTCATGGGCCAGGCTGGGCTACCAGCTGATGAGCAGCATCAACCTGCTGACATGGGTGCCACCTTGATGGTGAGTTGCTCTCTGTTGAGCTCTGCCCAGAGTACAGGTTCATGAGCAAAATCAGTGATCAACAGTATGTTAAGTCAGTGTTTTGGGATGGCTTCTTACGCAGCAAGAGATAACCAGAAGAGATGGGGATGGAAGACTTCTCTGGACAGCCTTTATAGAGGAAAGCACATGAAAGCAATGCGGGAAGGAGATGGTAACAAGTGGCAGTAGGATGCAGATAAAGTTCCGACTTTAGTAAGGGCAAACTCCAGTGGCCTTGACTTCCCTCTCACAGAGCTTTGGTTTGATGCAGAGACTCTTAGACATGCATCTCGCATCCTCTTCTCTCCACAGGCCTTAAAGCAGAATGGAAGATACTCTCTCCTGATGGCTTCCCTCCGTCTCAAAGACATAGCTCCTTGGGAAATCGTAGTTATTCCTCAAAGCCCTACTGACTGTTCTTCTCTACATTTATCCCATTTATTTTGTTCAAGTCCTGAACACATGAGCCAGAGGTAATGTTCCTTTTCACGTTCTATGGTGTGGTGGGAAGAGTCAGCATGGAAGCCCAGGTAGAAACAGAACAAAACGCCTCTCCGTTGGGGTGGTGGCATGGGGAGGGCTTTGTGGCCAGTCCACTGAGACTCTCCCCACCCCCTGCAGACAGATGACACCCCCTGGCAACTGAGAGCAGATGCCTGGCAGCTGGGGGCTGAGGAATGGATTCTGATAGCTGCTGGGAAAACACAAATTCTCCCTTTTTCTGAAATGCATTACTTGGAAACCTCTCTTTGAGATCAGTCTCAAGGGGCCAGAGTATTTCTTCGTGAGTCCTAACCCCAGGGATACGAAGGCAGAGAAACACAGCAGCCTAGGATGGCTCCACACCCGCGTTTCCTAGGCAAAATCTTCCTCAGGACAGTGACGCTTCTGATCAGTGAAAGAGCTGCAGCAAATACTCTGCAGAGCGTAGAAGGGTAAGGATGTGTCGCGGTTCATGGACCAGTAAAGGAAAGCGCAAGCCGCTCGTCTCCCACAAGGGAGGCTCCATATTGGCCTGACACTTGCATAGTCCATCAGCATATTAAAGACACCGTGCCCTCGGAAGCAATTTTTTTTTTTTAAAGATTTTATTTATTTATTTATTTGACAGAGAGAGACACAGTGAGAGCAGGATCACAAGCAGGGGGAGAGGGAGAAACAGGCTCCCCGCGGAGCAGGGAGCCCGATGCGGGGCTCGATCCCAGGACTCTGGGATCATGACCTGAGCCGAAGGCAGACGCTTAACGACGGAGCCACCCAGGCGTCCCCCTCGGAAGCAATTTAATTTGTTGTTTTATCCAGTGTTTCCCAAACATATTTGGTCACAGGATCCTTTTGCTATGGGGACATCATGGGACATCGCCGGACAAGAGCGAGGCGGAGAGCAGGGAGCAGGCAGGTTGGACCCCTCACCGTGCCCCCGGCCAACGTCGGACGCGGCCGCCTGACTGGGGAAGCGCCCAGGGCCTGTCGAGCGGCCTCACGGACCAGGGCCTGGAAGTCCAACCTTGTTACTTTAGCCTCTCCTCAGGGCAAAGTCCAAGCTCGTGAAGGAAGGAAGGGGATGCTCACGTGGAGAAGGTTTTGGAGACCACGTCTCGTCTGGAAGTTTCTAGGCAAAGTAGCCATCGTGAAGGGCTACTGGACAACCTTGGAATTATGTGCAACTGAGGAGCCCCCACACGCTTTTAAGAAGCTGATCTGTAATACATTATTTATAAAAAAATAATAATAATAAAGAGGGGGAAAATCCAGGAGCCACACGGAATAACAGACAGTGCTAAGTGGAGGCAGCAGGAAGGAGACCCGGGCCGCCCCTGCAGCCCGTTTACTGCTCTGTCTCGAGTCTGACTGTCTGGCTTCTGTCCTCTGGCTGTGTGCATGGACCAGTTTTCCTGGCATATGCATTTACTGAACTCTGAAAGGCCAGATCTGCTATGTAGATTAATTCATGATTTCAAAGACGCTTTGAAGCAGGCAAAACATTCTGTTATTTCCAAGAGTTATTACAACTGAAGTCCTGGCGTAGACTGGGAGGCCAGTCTGTAATCTTGTTTAGATTCTTTTAAATTCAGAAACGTTGTAGTGAGTTAAAAATAGATCTCATTTGTGTACTTTTCCTCCTTTCATCCCCATGGCAAAGGCTGTTCAGTCATTTTGACCTCTCCTTGATATTAGCCAGAGAAAGTCTAGCACTTGGCCCCTGGGATGGGAGTCCACTAGGCTAAAACAAAAGCCATTTTCAAATGGATTTGGGGGTGATGTGAGTCATGTGACTGAGCAGAGTTATTCATTATTCTACATGAGTTCTAGAATTAAGAGCAAGAGACCATCATTAAGACCTACGAATAGTATATGGATTAAATGAAAATGTGGGCCAAGGAGGAGAAAAGTTTTCATTCACACTATCCTAGGGGGCTTATATCCTCACATATCAATTGAAAAAAGACCATAGCGCTTAGGTCAAAAGAAGCTGGAATATCAGAAGGCTGGAAGGTCGGGCTGCTTATAACCAAAGTTAAATAAAGATTGCACCTGATTTCAGAAGAGCCAAAATACTGGATGTTATCCTATATGGTCCTCCCCAGGGTGAATGGGGTGTCAGCATTTTCATGCCCAGCACAGACATCGGTACAATCAGGATTACCTCTTCATGGTTACTTTACCTTCATAAACATGCTGAATCCAGTTTTAAGGAGATCAGTGAGGCCTGAAGACATGTGTTCAATATCCACTGGATCTGGCCTCTCAGGATTAAATATTTCTTCCACAACCTGCTTCAACAATGGCTTATAGGATGCCTGGAAAGACAAAATATTGTGCTGTAAGTTAAAGGGTTTGTTTGGTTTGTCTGGAGAGACGATAGCTTTATCTGCACCAAATGAAGCAAAACAAGTTTATTTTGACACTGAGCAATAGCTATGATTTTGTGTGTATGAAAAGGCAACTATAACAACATTGGTTTTTGGGGTAAATTTCACCCTAATACCCTAATGCTATTTTTGTTCTTATCCCCTTCTACCAGCAAATATCTCTTACTGGAGCTGTAATCCTAGTAGGACTACTTTTTAAAATCTGGGTTTAAAGTGACAATTTTTTGTATATGAAGAATACTGGAAAGCAAAGTATTGTCATTTGCGACAGACATGAAGATGCTCTCCAGTTTTCCTGAACGTTCTTAGAATTATGCTTCCCTCTACTAGGAACTGGAATGTTTCCATACAATGTACCGTCACGATCCAAGCCTAAAGCAATCCCTTCTTCCTCTATAGAGCTCAACTCCAAGTAGGACTTGGCCAGAAAACAAAGCAAAGATGCCAAACAGGAATCTGACCAAGGTCAGGGCTTAGAAAAAGCAGGCCACATGGTACCATAAGAATTCCAGGAGAATGAAGTTGATGTCGATTTGTTACAGCTCCCACAGTGTGAAAAACGATGCATCTATGCATGTTCAGATAATATGTGGAGGCAGCTTTTTCTGACCAGTGTACTTTCTGGCATGTTCCCCACTCCTCTTGCCTTGTTCTCCTTCCTACCAAGCTCTTCCTCCTCCTCTGCTCTTCCCTCCCCACAAGCTGACCACCTTCCTCCCAGGTCTCTGGCTGTCTCCGCTCTCCAGTCCCACAGGGCACCTGAGTTTGGAGCATGAATGCAGAGAGAAGAAGGAATGTCTCCTCTCCACACACTCTGGTGATTATTACAGCCTCGGAAAAGCCAGGTTCCAACAGAGTCCTGCCCAGATGTTTTGAACTCTTTGGCTCTTGTCACTGGCCAAATCTGTGACCTGCCTGCTATTTCAATAACCTGTTGAGGCTATTGGGTGAACTGACTTCATGTCTGCCTTCATCTTACATTCATCTTACAAAAATGACATCATACAGTCATTTTTTTAGTCTTTACTCCAACTTTCTTACTTAAAATATTTTAGAAATAAAGCAGGGTATAAACCATCAAAATAATAAACACTTATTTAGGGGTGCCTGGCTTCTCAGTCGGTAGAGCATGTGGCTCTTAATCTTGGGGTTGTAGGTTCGAGACCCATGTTGCGTGTAGAGATCGCTTAAAAATAAAATCTTAGAAAAACACAATTATTTAGCTAGAATGTCATGTGCATTTATCAGGGATAAAATGCAGGGAGAAAGAGCAACTGTTCAGCTGAGGGGTGCAGCCTTCGTGTTTATTAGTCCAACCGACTACTGCATACCCAGAGATCTCACAGGTAAATACGCACAGAAGGTAGAGCACTGAGCAGGAATACCATTAAGACAGAAATTAAAACAAAACAAAAACAAAACCAAAAAACAAAGCAAACACTATGATTCAACCTTCCCCATTCTAAAGCTATATTAAGACAGATTTTAAAAATTTATCATACAGGCATAAATGGAGAGGTCTGAAAACATGCACTTTTGATGAGGCCGTGGGGAAACAGACACTCTTATATATTGCTGGTGGGCGTGCAAATTGTTGCAATCAGCGTGGAGAGCAATTGGGCAGCACCTATCACAATTACAAGTGCGTTTGACCTGGCGATTCCGCCTCTAGGAATTTATCCTATAAATATGTTAACATATGCAAATGAGACCTATAAAAGGCTGCTTATTGTTTGAAATAGCAGAAGACTGGAAAAAACTCAAGTGCCCATCAGAAGGAGCAGATTAATAAATGGGATACAGCCACAGGAAGAAATGGCACAGAAGCCAATAGAGAAGCTCTTGTGTTGATCTGGCAAAAAGCAGGATAAAGTGTGGGTGGAAACAGCAAGGTGAGGAACAGTGTGTGTGCTGGGCTGGCATTTATGTAAAATGTGTCACCGGGGATTTGGAAGTTTGTATCTGCTGAAATGTACAAAAGATCCCATTGTGATGGGATTTACAGAGGCTGCCAAGAGCAGAGATCCTGGAGTGGAGAGCAGGACAAGGGACAAGGGTGGGGGAAGACTTTTCAATATATCGCTTTTCCAAAAACAGTTAAAATACCACTACAAACAGCAAGAATGATCTGTTTTTTTTTTATTTTTACTTGCTAAAAATTAACAAATTATTTATGCACAGAAGAGACTGAAATAAAACACACCAGAATGTTAATTAGGGCTATCTCTAGATTCTGGGAGTAAGGGACATTATTTTTTTCTTTTTCCAAATGTTCTAAAGTTCACAGGTATACTTCTGGAATCTTAATATAATCCAATAAATATTTTCAATGTTAAAGAAAAATGAGGTCATGGAATGGTCTCTGAATTTTGCACATCATCTCTCTGAGTAAACTGTCTCGAGAGCCCTTCTGTCACCTCAGCCTTTCTGGACATTGACTCTCAACTTAAACTTTAATCTCTTTAAACTCTTCCCCAAACAGAAATCCTTTGACCAATATTCTGCTAACTTATCAGCATTTCATCAGTATTCATCAGCTTCTTCCTTAGTAATAGTATCTAGCTTTTAGCAGGCACATTATCCACCAGCTAAAAGATTTGATTCTCCAGTCTCCCTTGCAGCCGGGCACAGCTGCGTAACTAAGTTCTGGACAATGAGATGGAAGCAGGAGGGTAGTGGGACTTGCAAATGCTCTTTTTTCAAAAGGGAAGGGGCTGCTCTTTCCCTTTCTCTGTTCTGCTGCTTGGAACATGAAAGTGGTGCCCAAAGCGCTGCAGCCGCGGTGGAAAACAGGGCTATTCCTTAGAGATGCTGGAGCTGAGAGCTGGAAGCAACGTTGGCCGGTGATGGCTGGTGGGGCTGCCAGAACCCTAACCCGGACAGACTAAAGCCACCTACTTGACATGCCAATACAAACCCTCCTACGTTTAAACCTTTAGCTCTCGGATCTTTGTGACTTGCAACTGAATGAAATTCTAACTGATACGAAATGCAAAGGGAAGATAAAGAAATTGGAGTGCTGCTTGGCTCAGCCGGTTGAGCATCCAACTCTCCATCTCACCTCAGGTCTTGATCTCAGGATTGTCGTGAGTTCACGCCCTGTGTTGGGCTCCATGTTGGCCATGGAGCTATGTTAAGTAAGTAAGTAAGTAAGTAAGTAAGTAAATAAATAAATAAATAAAGGACCATGCCTTCCTTCCAGGAGCTTACATTTGTTTATTTTATTAGCCTATATGCAGTTATATAGAATAACTTGAAGCAGAACCCCAGAGAAATACACTTAGGCTGTCATGGTTAAGAGAGGGGAGAGTATGTCCCCCAACCTACAAAAAACACAAGCCTGTTGCTCTCTGAAGAATGCACTTCCTGCAAGGAGGGAGAGTGGTGATGGTAAAAGGAGCTCAGACACAGGAAAAGTCTGTCATCCAGTTAAAATGCTAGACTAAGTACCTCCTCTGTGCAGGGAGCCGTGGGCCGGGGGTGATGGTTTTCTCCAGTGCAGTCCGGGGGCCCAGGGGAAAGAAGGAAGTGTGGAGGGACTGGGGATCTTGTCCTCTCCCCTGCTCCACTTTCAGCTAAGCTCTGGGCAACAAAGTACCCAGGACAAAATACCCACTGAGCTGGGGTTCCCCTTGGGGGTGAGCAAGATTTGGAAGGGCTAGTCCCTTAATAGGTTCATTCTTGGGATTTTGTGATCCTTGTATACCATTGGGGAAGGTTGTAAATCTTTTTTATTTTATTTTTTTAAGTATGTAGGTAACATTTAGAGTGGGGAAAGAAATTACAACTTCAATTCAGAAAGTAACAGAGAACAAACACATCACGTAATCCAGAATAATAACATAAATGCTTTCATTAATTAACTGCCTGACGTGGCCCCATGATACTCATTTCTTAGGTTTCTTGGCTGCATTCTCTCTGATTATCTTTTCGTTTGACAGCAATTTAGAAAGTCATTTTCTATAGAGATGTGATAGTGATTAAGCTATTGTCTCTCAACTCCAAGCCCTGTCTTCTGTACTTAGTTCTGTGACGCTAGCCTGCCGCTCTGCAAACCACATTTGTGCTCTGCCATCTAGACCTGGCAGATTCTGCCAACAGGGGGCACTAGAGGGCTAGTGGAGGCAGGAAGCGCCAGCGAGACCGTGCTCTTCCCTGTTTATTTGCTGTTCCCACCAGCATCACCCCAGCAATGGCTCCTCACTACTGGACGCCGTGCCCTCTCTCGACTTCGAAGTCATAGGATCCAATAAATTACCTTCCTTGCTTAAGCCAGTTTGAGCTTTTTTCTTTTATTTTCTGTTTTTACTTGTAATCGGAAGCACACTAAACTACATATTTTACTGAAGAGACATCGATAGGTTTTCCCACTTAAACATATAGAAGAAGACCTCTAATTCTTTACTAAAACAGTGAAGCACAGAACGACGAAATAACATTGTCCATTTAAAGAGCACAATTTGGGAAAGACTTTCTCAGGCATAAAAGCAGCACTGTGGCCTCATGACTTCTTCGAAAACACATTTCTTACTTTTTCCAATGACGGTTTTTAATGATGAGAACCTTTGGCTCCTTCCTCTCAGCCACTTAGGTTGCATTGCTTTGTGTTCCAAATCATGTCACTGAAATGTGATTGGAATGCCCGCCTTCAGCAATAGCTTCTTAGATGAGAAAACTCTGACTGTCATGGAATTTTCTATTTAGCCAGAAGCCACCCACTTCTCAGCAAAGGACCACATAGACTGGTGATCGGGGAGGCAGATGTCTTCCCCTAAGGCTCTGCTCAAAGTTCTCCTCATTTGTTAGGGAGGGCTGGAGGGGAGATCAGTTGTGTGGTTTGCTCCAACATTAAAAGAGTTGGGCAGAGTAATTTAATTTTCCTATTCAAACATTTTCTGTCAGTTCACCTTTGGGGGGTGGGGGGGAGG